CCCTCGATTTAAGGGTCATGTTGATAACTGCACACAATTCTCTGGAAGACAAATAGACGCTTTTTTGCCTTCGACAGCTCCAAGTGCTCCTTGTAGAAAAGCAAAAACGCTACTCCAAAAGGTGTCTTATTACATGGTGATAGACTAGCCCCCCCAAACAATGGCATCTTCCTGTAACACATCTGGATCTGTACTCTATAAGGAGAGCCACAGACGCCCATTACAAATCCATAGGATTCTTCCAACCTTTCTGCAACTGTGCTGGTCTTTTCCCACTCCACTGACATCTCGTTCTACCAGCATTTCCTCAGCAATAAGTGACATTATGCCAAATGCTAGGCTATCAAATTACTGTTTGAATTTCTGGGGCACTAATGCATACGCTAGAATGACAAGACAAATGAAAGAAAGCCTACACAGAGCCTATGTTTCAGTGCAGCATCTCTTTCTATAGTTCACTATAAAGCAGAGATAAAGTGAAAACACCAGGAAAAAAAATCGCTGCGTTAACCCACTGAAATCAGGCTCCAGATTAAAAAAACATGTATGGGATTATTTTAGGAGACTCATAATGGGATTTGAAGCCATTAGAATCAAAGAAATGTAGGACTGGAAGGGACCTTGATAGGTCATCTAGTCCAGTCCCCTGCACTGAGGCAGGACTAAGTATTATCTACACCATCCCTGACAGGTGTTTGTCCAACCTGTTCCTAAAAACCATCAATAATGGAGATTCCACAACCTCCCTAAGTAATTTGTTCCAGTGCTTAACCACCCTAACAGTGAGAGCAAGTTTTTCCTAATGTCTAACCTAAATCTCCCTTGATGCAATTTACTCTTATTCCTTCTAGTTCTGTCTTCAATGGTTAAGGAGAACAATTTACCACCCTCCTCATTAGGGCAACCTTTTACGTACTTGAAGAATGTTATGTCTCCACTCAGTCTTCTCTTCTCCAGACTAAACAAACCCGATTTTTTTCAATCTTTCCTCATAGGTCATGCTTTCTAGATTTTTCATCCTTTTTCCTGCTCTCCTCTGGACTTACTCCAATTCGTCCAAAAACCCTACCGCCTGAACAGGGACCCCTTCAGATAAACTATTTTTATTCAGAATGGATCCGTAATGACAGAAAATTATACCTACCCCAGGGCTGGTCAGTGGTCTATGAAATTAACTTGGTCGTTTCCGGCTCATTCCAAACTACCAGGAGAGGTACCCTTATAAAAAACACCACCCCTGCCTCCACCATTTAGACCTGTAACTGGCTGGTGAGAATCTTCTCCTGACCTACTAGGGGGTGTCGAAACCCTGCATAAAGCTGGTGAGTCTGTTCCGCTGACTGTGGCAGGTGCAGGTAGCCCTAGGATATTAAAGAGGTGGAAGTGGCCCTCTGAGGCGCTAGAACCAAAGATGTCATGAAGGGGAACCCAAAGGACAGCCAAGCTCCAGGAGGAAGCTCAAACTGGGATTTCACTTGCAGAGCTGCCACAAAAGCCCAGCCCTCAAGGAATTGAGCGTCTGGACACTAAGTGAGCGTGTGCGCTCCACTGAGAACATGATAGTGACTCCATCCGTTCACAAGCGCCTTCTTAGTAGTCTCAGCTGAGAATCAACAGAGGATTAAAGCTATCCAGAGAGCGGTTCCATCAGGTTACAGTTCAGGCACATTAGCCAGATGGTGCTGGAGAACCTTGCACTGCCAGCGTTGTACCTGCCTGGTGGATGAACAAAGGACTTCAGGTTCCAGGAGTATCCGTCTGGCCCCTTTCACCACTACCAACTCGCTAAAACGTGACATTTTAAAACTGAAGTCATCCTTTCCGAATAAGAATAATAAAAAAAAGGCAGAAGGATTACTACAACCCCACTGATTTCAAAACAGGTCTAAGTTCCCAGGCTGCAGCAGCTATAGGATTTGCATTGTAACGTACTCCTTTCACCTTTTAAAGATAAATAGCAAAATGCAAGCCTGTGCGCTGCGAAAGCTGCAGCATGTCTGTTTCACCGTTCATTGCCTGAAGTGGGGAGTGTTTTTAATAACTGTTACCTGACAGCAGTAAAGAGAGCAAAGAGCAAAACCTGTGGCAATACCAGTTGATCCCATTTGGCCTAACAGCTTGTTGTTATTTCCAGCTATTGCCAGACTCTGGAGTTCTTTAAAATTCATGGGGACAGCCTGCAGTTTTCAAGGAGGCTACCAAAATCCATCCTAAGATGTCTCAAAAAAAGCACACTTCCTGCAGGGGAACAGCATCCGTCAGCATTTCCAAAGATCACTCCGGAAATTTTTCAGATAATTCTTTGAAGTAGATGCTACCAAAGCGTGGAACCGCTTTCAAAGCTCAGCAATATTTAATGTATTTCAACAGCAAAAGAAATGGATCACAATGTTGTTGTTTCAGCTATATTATAACAAAAATATTGTGGTTTTCCTGTACTCTCACAAAAGCAGCTTAAGATTTCCATCTCATTCATCTTATTCAGAAATAGCATTTTATCCAAAAATGAAAAGAGAGATCCCACTGCGTACAAAGGACTTGATTAATCAGAGCAGGGTGTTTGTCCATTCAGGAGATAATGCAGACACAGTCAACGTTTTTGGAAGAGCTGAGTTTCCTCTATGACCAATAAGGAAACTGGAAAAAATATTTAAGATGGTCAATACAAGGTAAAACTATGCTGGGTGTCCTCAATAACTTTATGGAAGTAATCAGGTGTTTAAAAAATCCTAAATAATAAAACTAGGTTTTGCCATATGTAGGGAGCCAGGGTGGCTGCCTTCTGAACCGGAGGTAAAAGGGCCTTTCTCTCAGCCGGAGTGGGCGGGGCCAGCCCAAGCTAGCTCCACCCCCCGGAAGGGGAGGGGTGGAACAGGAAGTATAAAGGGCGGGGCCCTTAGCTCAGTCAGAGCAGCACCAAGGAGGGAGGCAGACGCAGACCGCGGGCTGCTCCCTTCAGATCCTGCTGCCGCGCCAGGGGAGGCCCTGGACCAAGGGAAACCGCACCGGGAGGACGGACTGGGGCTGCCAGGACTGCCCGCTGCCGAGTACCCAGGGGAACTGGAGGAGCCGGAGTGGGAGCTGGAGCTGCCAGCAGCCAAGGACTGGAGAGAGCTGGAGGAGCCTGAGCCTGAGGGGGAGCTGGAGCTGCCAAGAGCGGACTACCCCGACGCACTGACGGGATCAGAGGGATCCGGACGAGCGATCGGGTAGGAAGTAGCCCAGGGACAAAGCTGCACAGTGGTGAGTCTGTATCACGGAGGGACCCCGCTGATCCAGTGGCGGGACCCTCGTCCTGCCACCGTCAGGGCCCTGGGCTGGAACGCAGTGGTGTAGGGTGGGCCTGCGTTCCCCTACCCGGCCGAGCCACGCCGGGACCTTTGCCGGCGCTCCCCTGCCTGAGGGGCGCGCTACTGACCTTTGCCGGCGCTCCCCTGCCTGAGGGGCGCGCTACTGACCTTTGCCGGCGCTCCCCTACCTGAGGGGCGCGCTACAGACTCTGGCTGGCAGCCTTTCCGCTGCTAATTCCCCGCTGGCGGAGGCGTAACCCCGGCCAGCCCGTGACGACGTAGCTCCCCACCGCCCCCTAGCGGGTAGGCGGACCGACACCGATCACACCATACAAATCCAAACCAGACCTGGAGAACTCTCCAGCAAGTAGATAATAGATGTGGAAAATAATATTTCTTCCCAGTTCTCCAGCTCTTCATAACACAAAGCATCATGCCTGATGATCCCTGCATATACCCTGTAGGCAATTTCTAGTTCTATCTAGTTCCATTCTGCATTCCCTCTTCAAGGGTATGTCTACACTACCTGCAGGATTGGCGGGCAGCGATCGATCCAGCGGGGGTCGATTTATCGCGTCTAGTCTAGACGCGATAAATCGACCCCCGAGCGCTCTCCCGTCGATTCCTGTACTCCACCTCCGCGAGAGGCACAGGCAGAGTCGACGGGGGAGCAGCAGCAGCCGACTCACCGCAGTGAAGACACCGTGGTGAGTAGATCTAAGTACGTCGACTTCAGCTACGTTATTCACGTAGCTGAAGTTTCGTAACTTGAATCGATCCCCCCCCCCCCCCAGTGTAGACCAGGCCAATCAATTCAAATAATTAACAAGTAAAGGAGGACTCAATCCATTCAAAGGTAAAAAACAGTTCTCTTCCTGTCAGTTTTGAGGGGTAGTCAATAATACATATATAAAAAGAATGGCCTTTACACTAAATTATATAGATTTAATAAATTCTAGTTGTATAGTTTCTGTATTAAAGAGGATTTTATTGGTCAGTGCCAGCCCTGGAACAGGACTCCTCTATTTATCTACAGAACTGGTACAGTACAGTGACAGGGTAAGTTTGCCTGCTCAAAGTGACTCACCCCAACTTGTACAGGTGAATGTATTTAGGTCAGGATACTTAGCACTTATACAGAAAGATGTCTGTTCTAAGCGCTGTATGGACATTCATTCCCCTGACCCCCGTGCGGTATTATCTGCATTTCTCACCAATGGGACAGAGGTGAAATTGATTCCCTGAATTCATACAAGCCACTGGCAGAGCTGGGTCTCCAGATTCCCAACCCCACATTACTACTCCAGTCCATGCTCTTACTCACTCTCAGACCTGGTTTAATCTTTGGCATTGTCATGGGCAAAAAATGAGCTCATACCAACTGTGGTCATCTGACATGTCCAGGAGAAATTGCAGTTAGACCAACCTACATGCTTTCTTTACTTAATACAGGATCTCTCACTAAGTCAATTTCAACATAGACATTAGAGCAGTTTCCCTTTGCTTAAGGTATGTATAGAATATACGGAAGATTTCTTTAAGCTTGATAGAGGACTGAACAGTGCAGAGATTATTATAACTATAATATTCCTTTGTGTGAGTGAGAGAGAGAGAGAAAGAGAGAGAAAAAATAATTTAAAAGCTACCTACCCACAAAATGCACCAATAAATAATTACTGCGGATATTTTTTCTGATTTACATTCACTTACCAAAGGAATACCTGCAAAATAAAATGAAAAAAAAAATTAAAATCTGGGCTAATCATTCTTATTGACCTTTGTCTCAAATTACTTTTATCTCATATGGACTCTGATTTCAAAATGTCTATGGCAACATGTCTGTACTAATGTAAACATTAAATACATAATGTAACAAATGCACTAATGGTGAATTTCTACTCACAGTGGCTAGAGATGTGCAAGGTGTATAAATATTGAATGCAAGCCCAATCAGCTATTTTATTATTTATTTAGATTTAAAATAACTAAGATGCCTGTCCAAGGCTTTACGCACCCTAAAATAATCATAAAAATATATACAATTAAATTAAACCTCAGCAGCTCTGAACTCAGGTCTATTAAAATTTGGCTAGCCAACCACCTACCCTCCAACATCTAGGAAACACACCCTCAGCCTTCTCTGGAGACCCTCTCAAACAAGTGTCCTTTGCAGCATGCCTGGAAAGTCCCCAAATTTGGTCTATTTCAGAGCGGGCAGGGGGAGGACAAGTTCTAGAGTCTCAGAGCCCTCACAGAGGACACACTGCCAGCTGCCCTCTGTTTTATAACCAGGGAAATGAAGCTTGAGCGTCCATACTGACTGTATCAGAGGGGTAGCCGTGTTAGTCTGAATCTGTAAAAAGCAACAGAGGGTCCTGTGGCACCTTTAAGACTAACAGAAGTATTGGGAGCATAAGCTTTCGTGGGTAAGAACCTCACTTCTTCAGATGCAAGAATTCATACTGACTGTGACACTACAGTGCAGGAGGAGAGGCAGTTCCAGGCCACTTAGGGCTAGTGATTTTGTATTTTAAAAGAGAAGGTGCATGAACTAGTGGAATGACTATAGGATGGAAGCCAGGGACGTCTGAATTCTAGTCCCAACGCCCATGCGAATTCCCTCTATGACCTTCAGTTAGGTCACTCCATGTCTCAATTTCACCGTATGTAAAACAGCAATAAAAATTTATTAGTAAACACGACAGATAAGTAAGACACACATTTAAAGCGCTGTCCAGATAAATATTTTTATTCACTGAAAAAATGTGGTGTCTTGCTAAAGAGCGAGGAACATCTACGCCCTGTCATATCTAATTTATCAAGGTTGTCAGTTCTCCAGAATGAACCAAGATGATATTTATTATTATTCTGTCGGTGTTTAATGGATGAACATGCCTTCGACGGGAACGAATGGTGATACTGTACTGCTTCCCGTGTCTTCAAAGATGCTCCGGGATGAAAGAAGATATCTGTATTACTGTAGTGCCTATCGGATCCCATTGCTCAAGGTGTCCAAACCCATAGTTGGAAACAGCCCCTGCCCAAAGGGTTTACACACCTAATAGATAAGAGAGACAGAGGCATGGACAGATCAAAGGACTTGACCAAGGTCACAGCCAAGCCAGGAATACAACCAAGGTCTCCTGACTCCTTGTCCAGTATCCTAGCCACTAGACCAGACCGCCTCTACAATACATAAGACTAAATGCATTCTCCTGCAAATCCAGTTGAAGTAAACAGGAGTTGAAGGTGCTCATTCTTCAGAATCAGCTACCAATACACATTTTTACTGCAACTTTCAAAGCTGCCTATGGGATTTGTATGCTCTCCTCTCACTAGTTATAACTCAAGTCCCTGCCATCTGATAACACCACAAAATAAGGGTCCGATACCACTGAACACCCAAAACTCCTGTTGATGTCAAGTGGGAGTTTTAGGTGCTGAAGGAGTGAAGTCTGGTTTTTAAGAGGACAAGGCCATATAGGTGTAGTGCAATGGCTTTCAACCTCAAGAAACAGGCTCTACCTCCTACAGTTGAACCTTACGAATGCACACAAAAAACTACTGGTCTTCCTGCCTTTCAGGAAACATGCTACAGGGAGGTCTTATATAGTATTTCCAAAGGGAAGCAGCGCGGGCCAATGGATAGGGCACTGAACTCTGCTATCTACCTCCCATGCGACAGCACACAAGTCACTTTCACAACATTTACCTTACTTGGTAAGTTTACCTGAAAAAGGAAATATTATATATTACTGACATTTTAATTATTTATTATTATTATTATTATTACTACAAAATGTGCTAGGGCATATTTACTAGCACATTACAAAGCATGGTAAAACAGAAAACCAAAGTACAATTGATAAAATAAACCTACAAGGATTTTTTTTGTTTTTTTTTAAAAGGGCCTCTCCTCACTTTGTGCCTTTGCTAACTTGCAAAATTCAGCAATCCACAGTGAGCAGCATCCTAGCCATAAGTACAGTTTAGTGAGGTTGTACTGTGTGGTTATTCATTGATATTTTTTCCAAAACATCCTCAGCACTTTTCAGTCAAAGATGCAGCCAAGCTCCATTGACAGTGTTAAAAACTTTACAACCATTGTTAGAACCTAAAGGATATTGCTATAGTGCTGAAAAGCCAATATTCACTTTCACAGGTGGACTATTTACTCACGTCTTTGATTATTTTTTTTAAACAAATGACAGGAGTTCATCCAATACGTCTGCTGCTACTGGATGCGTGATTTGAATGGTGCTAATTACAGCCAATTGGAAACCGGAGTTTCCATTCTGCGGGAAATTGCAACATTTTGAAATTTGTACTCAACTCAAATCAGAACAAAAGCCAACATTAAGTAGGTTTCCTGTGGAATGAAAATTCCCAACTAATTTCAATTTGGAACCATTAAAACATTTTGTTTCGATAACGTAGAAAAACATTTTCTTTTGATTCATTATTGACTTTTATTTGGTAATACATTAAAATTAATATTTGGCTGTCTTAAAGTCAAAATGAAACATTTTGACATTACCAAAACAAAAATAGCTGAAACAATTCAATCATTCATTTCAACCTTTTTCCCCCCATCAAAAATTTCCTCAAAAATCAACATATTCCCATGAAATATTTTTATTTCAATGAAACTATTTTCTGATAGAAAAAATGCTTTGAGGGCACTAGCGTGAGGGGCACTGACACGAGTCTATCTCCTGGCACTGGGAAACATGTGCCCAGCTGCAGTGTCTACATACCTAATTGGACAAGAAATGTGAGTAAATGTTTGCAAGATCATAGTCTATACTTAGTCGTGCTTTTAGGCTCAGGTCCCAAAACATGCTTTCTTCTGCGCTTTCCAATCCCATATAGGTACAATTAACACTGATGTGTAATGTACCACATGCCACTTTTTTTAAAGACAAAAAATTAGAAAAGTTTAAAAAAAAACTACTTTGTGTGCTACTGGAGCACATCCTACTGTGATGTGCAAATGTTTTCTTCTCTCTCTCTCACACACACACACACTTCCAACAGTTATAAAATCAATCAATCCAAGTACTTTATTGCATATTTAAACAACAATTTCACACGGGGCTACTGTTGCATAGAAGCCATTATCTTCAAAAGCACAATAAGTTTTAACATTCTTAATAAAAGTGGCTCTGTATAAAAGATATCTGTCATTAAGGGCACCTCCACTTCACTGCTCTCCACCACGGCTGTGGTGCAGTTAAATATAAACTTGTACGAATTATTCTTTTTTCCTTGGCAGACGTAAAGAACCCCCTGAGGCCCATTCCAAAAAACACACAATCAGGAATTAATAAAAAATTGTATTCTTTTCAACCACATTAAGTTTTCTGACGTGTGTCTGTTGCTGATTACATCAATCTAGGCTCCATAACTTGTCATGTGATGACAAGCAAACACTTGTGAATTTATTTCTCTGAAGACGCTCATGATACAAATGCCAAGGAAACCAAACCGAACGGCTCACTATGAGTCCATAAACACAGCAGGGTCTCTTATGGAGATTTTCAAGACACAAATGACAAGAAGGTGCCTAACGCCCATTGACTTTGAATAGGAGTTAGGGGCTTAGTTGCCATTTATGCTTTTGAAAAAATCAGCTCCTTACCAACACACAGTAAGAAGGACTATTTTTAAATAGTGCTTTCTCTCCCCATAGCCTCCCTTAGAATTTGGCAGAAACGTTTAATAAAAACAGATTACAGAAAGAGAGAGAGTTAAGTAAAAGTGTGGGTTTGGTTTTGCAAATTGCAACAGTGAATCATTTTGGGTCTGCAGATTGTCAGAACTGGGAATTTCACAAACTCAACATACTATTTTCAGCTCATGGTGTATGGATTACATAAATCACATTATATTTCTGTTCCCTAACTGGATGAATTAGGTCATTAGCCAGCACAATGTGAATTACATATTTAAATGCAAAATGGTAAATTGTGACTTTTACAATTAAATATACAATCAAAATTCACTTTTAAGCAAATATTTGAGCTAAAATTGTGCTGATTAAGTTTCAGTGCTGCAATATTCATGGAACGCAAAAATGAAAGGGTAGTGAACATGTTTTTAATTAAATTTGCTTCAGATGAAAACATTCATAAAAAAAATTCCACTATTTATACATACATTGTTGCTAGAAGTCAGTGAACTTGGAAATGTAACATTTTCCATACAAAACAAATTATTTGGATCGCTAATTGGAAATTGCTCAGTCTTTCAATTATTATTTTTTGGTTTAAATATATAAACTTGACTAACCTACAGCAATATTAAGACCTATCCAGTGATGGTGACCTTCTGTAATGGAAGCACCGGTTAATATTCATAGAAGGAAGTGTAGTTTCAGGAATGGATTTGGAGGTTCCCAAAGCATATTATTGGAAATGAATGATTATGCAGCAAACGTCGCCTGTCTCCACTCTGTAAAGGTACTCTGCTTCTAGGTGGAGTCACTCAGTAGTTACCATTCACTGCTATGAGCATCAGACCCCTCACCGTCTAATTAGAAGGCGAGGCAATTTGGAAGCAAAGATTTGCAAACTCAGCCAAAATGTGTAATCTCATCAAAAAAATAATCCTGTCACATTAACTTGATGTATTTTCCATAAACCCATGTTGATTTTCATTACATTACCCTCCTCTAGTTCTTTATTGATCCAGTCCTGTATCAGCTGCTCCATTATCTTGC